TCATTTCTTATTTAATGTAGAAAAAAAATAGAAAAAATATTTTTTTAAACTGCAAATGGTGATAGAGATAAAGTATGCAAAAAATTTTCTCTGACTACCATTAAAAACTTTTTTCCAAATAACTAAAAAACATAAGAAAACTACGAAGTTTGCAGAAATAATATTAAAATTGTTCCAAGCGAAATATTCATTAAATATGACATCCTTATAAATTTTTTTTTTTTTAAATTAAAGTAAAGAAGATTTCTTTCGTTTATTAATTTTCCTAGATTAAACAATCACACATTCACTAATATAAGAAAATTTGACAAAAAGTTTAATTAAATTTTTTTTTTTAATTGCTCCTCTAACAAACAAATGTGAATATTAACTCTTTAAAAAGAAAATATGTACTTGAAGGAAATAATTTTTTAAAGAGAGAAATTTTTCCAATATATAATAGGAAAATTCCAACATAATAGAGAAATTTTGTATGCGTGCGTATACATAGTATGTAAACAGTGCAACAAATTTTCATTTGAATTACTTACATTACTTTATTTACAAAAATTGAATTCAAAACAAAATAGTAAGCATGACTGGTAATTTTTTTTAATTTAATCAAATTAAACTATATCCAGAGCGTTTTTAACGACAATCCTATTTATCATATACCAACAGCAAATTGACCTATTATATATGAACGCAGAAAAGACTTATGAAAATTGGCTATTTTGCATATATTTTGAACTACAAAATTTTCTGTATTAATTTTTTTAGGGTTCTGTATTCAATATATCAAACCACGAATATCATTAAAACAAGACCATCTTTATTTCTATATACACTCTTCTTATATAATATAATTTTTAAATTTCTTAATATCAATGACTTTATTGTTTAACATTCTTATATTTTAATGAACTGAACAAACCTAGAATGCAAATCTCTATAGACAACTACTACTAAAGTTTCGAATTAAAATATGAAGTTCTTGAATAAAAAATTCTCTAAAAGAAATTTCCCCTATTCATCTTATTAAAATTTTATTCTTGTAATTTCTTATTAAATTTCTTAAATCAAAGTTATTAGATTTTATTTCTTGTAACTAAAGGTGGTTATTTTTAGTACATAAATTGATTATAACGTTGTGGTAAGATAAATTAAAAGCTTAACACATAAGTATAGATTTGAAGTAAAATTCCTTTACTATATAGAGAAAAGAGAAAATAAATTAAAGTATTAAAGAAAAAAAATTATTGTATAAGTAATTTAGTGCCAAAATCAATTAAATTATAAAAAGGAGCACCACATCCTTTGTTTCTTTTTTGTTTTTTTATTGTTGTTCTTAAGTTATGATTGTTTATGAAACAAAGTTTCAATAAAAAGATAATTTCGATATTGTGTTGTGTTATTACACAACGGCTTCATGACTTCATTGTTTATGCTAATATATATATATACTTACATTAATGTACATTCATACATAAATATTTTACTCATATATACATACACATATACTTAAATTGAGGTTTTTCTCAATTTCAGATAAAATTTGTATTCAAGAAAATTTTATAAGTTTTATTTATCTTATATTTTCGATTTTATTATACAATAATCTTAATCTGGGTTAATAACTTTCAGCACTTTATAAATCCTTTTAGGAAGGATAATTTTTATGATTCGCCGAAAAATTAATTCAATTTATTATGATTGAATAGCCATGGGATGGATGTAAAAAGGGTTCTTTATACATTTTTGTTTTTCTTTAAAGTTTTCCATAGCAATAAAAAAAAAAAAATATTTTTCGTTTCTTGTAAAATTTTTTGTTTAATTTATCCTGTGGGAAAAACTTTTGTTTCATCGATATTAAAATCAATTTTCTTTTTCAATTATTATTACACCTTCAAATGAATGATTTTACACACACACTCAATGTTATTATTTAAACAAATTGGTTGAATTTTCGTTGAATGTATAAAAATTAATGATTTTTCTAATACTAGACATCAATGACGAAGTTTTCTTACGATTCTTGAAACAGAAAGAAATGTTTAAAAATGTTGAAATGAAAAATTAAGAAATGCATGAAAAATTAAGAAATGTTTAAAAAAACCTCCTTGTGTGTTAAAGTTAGAAAACTGTGAATTTTAGACACACACAGTTTTAGGAATTATTTATTTACAATCGGATGTATGATGCTTTTCAAAGAGCTATTAAACTAATAGTAAATTTAACTGAGCCCTTACTATGTAATTCTATTTTCATGAAACGATTTTCGTATTCGGAAAAATTATAAGGTGTTACCAATTATTTTCTATAGTACTTATTGTCTTTCCATTTCTGCAGATACACAAGTCTTTTTAAGAAAATCGAATTACATAATAAGGCCCCTGGAAATTTATACATTATTTTAACATAAACTTTTGAATTATCAAATTTTTATTGGAATTATTAATTTTAGAGTAACAATATCACGATATTATTTCTTGCTCATAATAAACGAACCCAAGCTAATCTTTAATTTATGAGAATGTTGACCGTTCTCAATAAATCCGTATCTCAATTAATTTATTACAACAATATTATTATTATAATAAATTTTAAAGCTAACCTTCCCGAAGGATGCAAATACGATGACGATAGGTGTTGCATGCACACTTATTTGCATCCTCGTAAACGAGCTTGCAATTCCTTAAAATCAAAAAAATTGCATAAATATATTTCTGAAAATTTATAAATTAAAAATTTCTGTATAATTCGGGATCTAAATTTTAAATAATAAAATTTTAAATAATAAAAATTTCGATGTTATAAACTGTTTTTTTTTTCTAAAATAATATTGTAAAATATTTTATTTGGATCATCATTTTCAAAAGTAAAAACACTTAAATACATACACATATAAAAAATTAATAATAATTTGTTTAAATATTATTTTACAAATCAAAAATAAAATATAGATTTCATGTAGTTTTTGAGTATTGCAATTATAAAATATTTTATAAATTTATAAAATATAAAATTATTTTTATTTTAAAAAAAAAATCATTTATTGTCAAACAGCCATATTTAAAATATTTATTTTTCTTTTTTTGTATTTTTGTTAAAAAATGATAATTATATAACTGTGCTTAAATTTCTGTATACAAAATTATATTAAAATTAAATTCAAATTCCATTTATAATGTATTTTAATTGAATATCCCAGAAAATTAAATAATTGTTTTAGTTTCATATTTTATAAATTGAAAATAATTGATGAAAATCAAATATTAAAGTAATAATAATTAATTATTTTCAAAAATGCTTCATTTTAATTTACTTTTGAGTTTTTTCAAAATTTAATTAAATTTTTGTAGCAATTTTATATAATTATATACAAGAAATATATAATAATATTCTCGGTAATACTTATGTGCTCTTTAATAATATTAAATTGGATTTTAATTGAAAAAATAAGTAAAAATAATATAGGTTTATAATTTCACTAATTTTCTGGTCAATTGAAATTCGAAAATTGAAAATTTATATGTTAAAATCAAATTCAATTTAACACTGAATTTATTGATAAAATTCAAGATTAAAAAAGGTGGATTCGTTTTCAATAGTTTGGTTTAACCTATGGTTTAACAATTATTTAAATATTAAAAGGAATTATCTGTATACATATTTTGGACTGATATTCGTTAAAAACTGCATTCTGTTCTTCTAATTAAATTGTTATAATTAAATTTGCAGAGAATGCAGAGTAACATTTAAATTTGTACATGTACTGCCCAAAAAATGTGCTTGTAAAAGCAGAAATTCCATTTTCTTGAAAGCCACAACTCTAAACTAATGAGAATGCAGAGTAACATTTAAATTTGTACATGTACTGCCCAAAAAATGTGCTTGTAAAAGCAGAAATTCCATTTTCTTGAAAGCCACAACTCTAAACTAATGTTTTTATAAGAATTACAGCGTAACTTTTCTATTTTTATTTTATTACTGCGTAAAATTATTAATTTACAATTATATCAAATTTTTTCAGAAACATATTTTGTAAAAAAAAATGCAGTATCAGTACTCATTAAAGTATTAGTACTCAATTCAATAAGAAAAATTAAAGAATTCTCACAATATCGTATCTTTATAGTTGTTTCATCGTAAAGAGACAAAGAACAACGGATCCCCGTTAAATATGTATTTAAAACAACAGTTATGAGAGTATAAAGTATAGTGTTGTGTTAATATAATTTGATATTGGCACAATTAAATCTTAAATACAATTCAATTACAAATTGAACGAAATACAGTACATATTTTAAAATAAAACTAAACAATTAAATAATTAAAAATGCAATTTTGTTTTAAAATCTTTAAAAAAGAAAATTAAAATAATAAAAAATTTTGTTACATAACATAATTTTGAAATAAGAAAGTATATTCAACAATATTTAATTTTACAACAAGAATTAAAAAATTGGCAAGACTTTGTTTATATGTAATTTTTTTGTTCTTTTAATTCAATTAATTACCACTAAAATCTGTAGATATATTTAATAAATATAGAATTAAAATATAAATTTAAAAAAAATTCCCTAAGGCTCCTAAAGATGACGTTTAAAACTAATTTACGAGGTTTTTTCTTTTTTTTTTTTAAATTCCTTATATCTAACTTATAAAGAAGATAATAAATAAATTTTATAATAAAAAATTATTAAAAAAAAAAGTATTTTATAAGTTACACATTACATACAGAAATAAAACAATATTTTCCACTACACATAATAAATTAAAGTGTACAAATAAGTTTGTTCAAATTTAATTAAGGTTTTAAGTCAGCTAATTAATAAAAATAATGAAAAAAAGTAATTAAATTTTAATAGGTTTTAATCAATTACTAAATTAGCATATAGATAGACAAGTTAGATAATAAGATTAAGTCTACTTGATTCAATTAATAAAGCTGGCCTTCTCTATTAATTTCTTCTGAATAAAACATAAATAAATAATTTTAAAATTGCAGAGGCAAATAATTTAAAAATTGAATTTAATTTTACAAATTTTAAACTTATGTGTACACATCTTAATAAAATGTAGTTCCAACTAAATATTTATACTGTAATATAAATATTAAATAATTAGAAAAAAAAAAATACAATATTATAAAATTATTAAATAAAATTCTTATAATAAAAAAATTTATTTTTTTATTTTATAATGGATCAATATTTGGTCCATTTGGACTCTCTTCCAATTTTCGCCATACAACATTACACATTTCTCTAACTAAAGCTTTTTCTCCATCATCCATTTGTTCAATATTAATATCGCTAATACCATTTGATGATTGTATATTATTACCGTTATTATTATTATTATTATTATTATTATTAGCACTAATACGATCTCTTTCTAATTGTTCTCTTACTTCGAGAACTTGAAGAGCTCTTACAACAGCTTCAGGTCTTGTCATTGAATCATTTAATTGTGATTGCTGTTGTTGTTGTTGCTGCTGTTGTTGTTGTTGTTGCTGTTGTTGCTGTTGTTGCTGTAATTGTTGTGAATGTTGTTGCTGTTGTAGTTGCTGCTGCTGTTGTGATTGTATACTAGTACTATTTGTTGAACCATTCGATAATGAACGTTCTTCTTCTAATTGTCGAATTCGTCGTTCTAATGAACGAACATATTGTAAAGTTTGATCACTTAATGTTGATCGTGTATTCATATCCTAAAATAAATATAAAAAATGTTTAAGAAAAAAAAAAACAGAAAATAATATTTTCCATAAATTATAATATCGAAAAATATTTTTTCTATATATAAACAATAACTAAATACTTAAATTGCATAAAATGACATTTTCTTGTGACAATGACAAATGGTCATTGAACTTATCAAATTTTATGTACGGGAAAAATAAATTTCCATATGGAAATTTAATTATAAATAAGTGTTAAGTTAACCATAAAGCTTCATAATCAAAACACTCAAATTGCAATTTAATAATTTATTATGTGAAATTTAATTGTGAAAAAACTACAAAACTTGGAAACTATTTTGTATTTTATAATTATTAAGAAAATATCTAATATTACCAAAACTACTACTCAAATTTTACTTTTTATTTTATAATTAAATTCTACAGAAAAAACTATGTATGTACGTATGTGTTTGTGTAGAACAAAGTTTACCTTTCTGATGTTTTACTTATTTTTTCATAATTTTTTTTTCTAAATTGTATTGAAATCGAATCCCCATTCCCACACATATTTTCTATTATTTTTTTTTATACATAGTACTGAAAAAAATATAAAATTCGGTCAATAAAAAAAAATAAAACACTTCAACCTTTTAATGTTTAAGATATAAAAAGTTGAAAAAACAAAAAAATATTAATAAAATATGGCAATTATTATTAGGCGAAAACCTACGTTCAATTATTAAAATAATTTTATTTAGATTTAATAAAAAAAAAAAAGTATGAACGAATTTTGCGTTCAATAATTTTAATGTAGGTATATACATAAATTTTTACAATATAACTTCTTATATTTGAAGCACATTTATACATACATAAAAATATAACTTTATTTCATAAATAAATTTTGATTTTTTTCAAAATTTTTAACAATTACTTACCGCAATTTGCCTATCAAAATTTCTTATGGCTGACATTGTTTCATCTGCATTTGTACTAGAACTACTACCATCGCCATCATCTCTTAATGCAGGTCGTATTGCTGTACCACAATTTGCACATAAAGTATTTGCTGCAACCTAAAATTTTATAATTTTATTATAATTGAATAATTTTAGTATGTATGTATATAAAATTTAAGATAATTTTAAAGTATAATGATAATCAAATATTAGCATTGTAAAATTTATAGCTGATTAATAACATGTAAATCGGAGTTACGAATCATACGGACTAATTTTATTTATATATAAACTAAAATTTTTAAACTTGGTTTATTTAAATATCTAACTGGATTTTAAAGTTTCCATTTTGTATAATACTGACCCTATATGAACATATTATTGTAACACAATTTAACACGTATCACATAAAGATTTGAAAGATTAATAATATAAGAGACATTATCTATTATCTAGCTCTACTATACCCCTCTTATAAGTTAATTAGGAAAGAAATATTGGAATATTATCTTAAATTTTTTTCGAACAAGTGATAAACTTAAGAAAATTGCAATTGTAGTAAGAATTAAAAATGAATTTTTTATGCCAATTTTACTAAAATAAACAAATTAAAAAAATGGGATACTATTTTGACCTAGAAACATGAACGAGTCAATAATGGGTATACATAAAAGTGCTATTTCCAGGTACAACATAACATATTTGATTCACTTACGTAAAAATTTGAGTAGCCGCCTCAACAAACATTAAGCAAGCAATAATAGTATCAAATCAATAATAATTTAAATAATATGAGTAATTATATTATTCAATTTTACGAATTCTCTCTGCCAGAAATCTTTATCCAGATCAAATAGGGAATTGTATGTTGTTTCTAAGACTTGAATTTATTAAAAATTTGATTATTTTTCAGTACTTGTATTTAAAGAGAATCACACATTATGAATAATTCACGCGACTTCATCCTATATTATTATTAAAATATTTTATTTTTCTATATATTATTATAAAATATTACAGGTCCGGGTATAGGTACAGGAATATATGAATTATTATAAACCAATCTAATAATTCTAATTTTTCCTATTTTAATGAAGCTTTAATTTTTTCACATTGTAATTTAATTTATTCGTAAATTCTATTAAAATTTAAATATAAAATAAATTTTATATACAATAGTCTATAATTTTAGTCATTAAAAAACAAAAAGTAAAAAATTTCATATCGTAAAACTAAGCATTTAAAAAAAATTAAGTATATAGAAAAAACAACTTACATGCGCCCGTTCTTCATCTAAATACAAACATAATTCTTTCAATTCTAAATTATCTCTAATTAATTCTTGTTGTTTATCATCTAATTGCCGTAATTTATTCTAAAAAACAAAAACATAATAAAAAAACAAATTAATTTTTATTCTTTTATTTTAAAATTTATTTCTTATTACAATAAGAAAAAAAACAATAACATGAACCAATTACCTGATATGCAGATACTTCTTGTCTCATTACACTAGCCGTATATCTTCCAAATCTTTGCCATTCTCTTGCTAATTTTCTTCCTTTTTGTCTATCATCATCAAGAAAACAACATAAATCACGTAATTCTTGATTATCATCAATTAACCTTTGATTAGCCTCTTTTAATACTCGCAACTCATTGATAAGTGACTAAAACAAAAAAATAAAATAAAAGACAATAAAATAAAAAAAAGGTGAAGAAGAGAACGTGTTACAATAACAAACAAGAGTAAAAAAAAATATATAAAAAAAAAATGCTCAATGCCGGTTCGTTTTTCTTAAAGAAGAAAATTTTCTATACAACAAAAAAAAATTTTTAAGGATCTTTTTTTTTTCTAAAAAAAAAAAAACATTGATCATTTTCTGCGCCAAACTCTTTTTCTTCTAAACAAGAATTATATTGGCATTAAAATAAAGAAATCAAAATTGGCAATCAAAATTATCGAATTAAAAGGTTGAATGTATCTTGATTTTTAATCTATTAGATAGATTACAACCAATTTGAACGTTAAAAATATATCAAATAGATTTTTTTTAATCTTCTACCTTATTTTTGACATCAAAAAAACACTGCAGGAAATCTATACATTGTTTTGTTTTTGTTGTCTTTTTTAATATTTTGCAAACAAAATTTATGATCCATAAAATACGGACGATCCCATTTTATAATCTTTTGTGTTTCCTTTTCTTTTTTTGCTACGTTATGATAAGTAGAAATGGAAATAAAATTAAAATTTGATTACCGTATATTACATTGCAAATTTAGAACAAAATGATGTTGGGTCAAACTAAATGGTTTGTTAATGTGGCACTTTTCACTTTAGCAAGTGAACATAAAGCTTTTACAAGCAATTTAGATATGTACTACATTATTAAAATTATTTTCATTCATATAAGAATAAATTTCAAAAATTGCATATATTTAGGATGAACGATTTATGCAGTCTTTGAAATAAAGCAAAAAAAAATTTAAGGAGTCGTTAACATACCTCTCGAATTTAAGGGTTAATTGCGTAATTTAAGATAAATAGTTATATGTTTCTTTCTGGCATGGTATTTTCCGTTAGATTTCTGCATTTATAGAAATTTGGAAAAATTTGCTGTTTCGGAAAAAAATAGTGCCAAAAATTCAAATTTTACAAATTTCGTGAGGTGACAGCTTAGAAGAAAAACGGTATGATTAGAAGAAAAATGATATTAAAAATTAGGTAAAATTGGATTTCATATAACGGTAAATTTTAACGGCCATTTTGTTTTTTTTTAAGTGTAAATATGATATGCCGCGAACTTTTCTCCATTTGTAGAATTTAAAAAATATTTGTGGTTTTGTTACAATAAATAGTTAAAATGGCATTTTTAGGGTTTTGGGGTTCTATAACTCTGAAAGGGAACCGAAATAAGTAAAATTTTTTTCTACGAAAATAAGTTTCTAGTAAAAATCTATGAACAATTTCAGCTTGCTATCTTCAAGGGTGTAGAATTTTTATAAACATATCCACGGACGAACGGACGGACAGAATGAAACTAATTAACAGTTTTTTTTAACAGTTGGCAATTTTTCTTTTTGAAAAGCGGTAAAAAATTAATCAAGTTTATGGCGTATGAAAATTTGTGCAATAACAAAAATAAAATAATTGCAATTTTTTTAAAATGTATTTCAATGATAAGCACAATTTCTATTTGTGAATTGAACATGTAACAATCAAAATTGACAAGCACTTTTTCTATTACTAAATGTTCTAATTCACGAAATATTAAGTTTGTTTTATGGTTTTGATAATTTGACATTTAAAAGTAATGACCTCAAATTCCTTTTCGATATTCTTCGAATATCGAAACGATTAGACTTTAAAGCGTCATGATCACAATTATATAATTAGCATTTTTTATATGTGTATAAAATTAATAATGAAACAATGAATAATTAAAAATTGAGATTTTTGTAATACAATTTGTATCTACTCCTAATTATTGATCTATTTATACCTATTACTTCCTACTGCTTCTTATTGACAGAACTTAGCTGTATAATCCCTCTAATTGTCAGATGTTGAAATATTTGAAAAATATTAAGCCGTAAATAGAACATTCACTAAAGACCGATTTTACATTTTCTGATCATATCAAAGGAACTATTTTAGGTAATTTCTTAAAATTTAATATTATAGTGTTCTGGTTGTTAACAAAATTAACTGAAATCGCAGAGAAAGCACAGAAATTGAACTAGCTACATTAGACTATAAGCTGTTTTAATGTTATAATAAGTATTTAAAAAAATTTTTAAAGGGTATTTTTATATTCTATGCAACTTTTTAACAATGCGGTTGGTTATGTGCTGGCCACATCAGATTTTTTTTTAAACTAACTAAATAATAATTCACTACTTATTATATTTTTGATATAGAGACAAGTAAATCTTCTAAACATAATATTTTATTAAATAAAAAACAAAAACAAGTATCTAGGTATATAAAATCAGAATTTCTATAATGCGATCAATATTTCGAAATATACTTGTAATTAGAGGAAATAAATCATATCAAAATTATTTTAAATAGAAAGCAAAATAATATTTTAAATGTAATCGACGGTGTATATGAGATGGGCGTTTGCGGCTTTTTAATACATTTAAACTACAAAAAAATATTATAAATGGAGTGGGCATGGGCACAATAATTCTAGCCTAATAAATAATATTTTTGATTTTGTTTTTTTCTTCTTTTCATAAATATTTTTTCTTGTTTTGCGAAGGTTGAATGTTTCAGTCAATAGTTTTTTTTTTTTAATGTTATTATTGTTTAAGTTATGTATGCAGTTTTTAAACGTTTAATCAGTTTACTACCACTTTAACTATCATATTTCAGTTTTGAATTGTCATCTAATCGATCATTTCAAAACGAAATAATGAGAAAAATTGAAAAAATAAATTTTTAGGATAAATGGAAAGCAATATAAAATAATTTAATTTTAGTAAAAAGTTTTTGTTTTTTGCAATTTTTTCTAAAAATAAACGATACCCGTAATTGGACTTTTTTTTTATATTTTTAAAATTTGAATTGTAAGCTAATTAACCTATTTTTCAAGTTAAATACTGAAAGTAATTTTTCAATTATAAAATGCTATTTTATCAGAAAAATTAAAATTTTGAGTCAGCATATTTCAATTTTTTACTCAGTGTTGCTCCAAACCCGTAAATAGTAAAAAGTGTGATGTGGTCAGCACATAACCGACCGCAAGGTGTATTGTTCAATTTAGTTGCGCAAGATTATGAAAATGCCAAAGGTCGTTTTTCATAGTATCAGAAGAAGGTTGTTAATAAATTTTTCAAGTTAATCTGTGGAATATTTTTTTAAAATGATAGAAATTGTAAAATTAGGCGTTGTTAAATGTAGATCATTCTATGATATAGTTCAGTAAACTTATATATATAAAATTTAATCAAAATCGATTCGGCCGAATTCGAAGTAAAGGAGACCGACCGACATCTGGCCAAAAAAATTTTTATTACGTTTCCGTATTCATTGAAAAAGTAAAACGCTTTGACAACAAAACTTCACATGTAAAATTTGTTGCAATCACAAAACCTCTCTTATTGAATGCAATGCGGTCGATAAAAGTATTATGGCTTTTAAGGAAAACAAATTTTTAGTTTATCTCTTAAGACAGTTGAGAAATTAGTAAAATATGAGAATTTTTTGTAAATCATCATGGTGGTTGAAAAGTCGTAATGATTTACCGCAGGTAAATCATTAATGTAACCGTATTTAACCTACGATTGTAACTTTGTGAAAAGGAACGGTGGTTCGTTTAGATCCGAAAAAGGTAAGTCAGAGTTTAAATTCTCTTAAGTCCAAATTGAAATTTTACGTACATATGTCTCGTGAACAAAAAATATTATTAAGCAAGAAAAGAGCAAATTTTGTTTCGTTTTTAAAAAAAAAAATTTTTTTTACAAAAATAACATAATGGCTAAAATTTGTTGCCTCACATATAATTTGATCCAAAATCGTTCTGTAACACAGCTTTTCTTTTATTTTTCATGTTTTAATAAACACAAAAAATATAAAAATATTTTCATATTTACATAGTATCTAGTCTATTAACGTAAGCCCCTATAATCTTTTATCAAATCTTGAAATAGAAAAAAAAAAAAATTTTCAAAACATATGCACGTCCAAAAAAAAATTTTTTTTTAAATTTATTCTAATCATTAAAATTCTTACAAAAACAAAACGCCCCGAAAGAAAACCCCAAAAGAAATGAAAAACTTAAGGTATTCACATAATAAATCGAAAACAAAAGTGAATCTTCTCTAAAATTACACTTCCTTCATTTTTATACCCGTACGAACGTATGTTCGAAGGGTATACTAAATTTGCCTTACCGTTTGTAACGCTAAGAAATAACGGTGTTAGATATAGACTCAAGTGTATGTTTTTGATCAGCGTCAAATTCTGAGTTGATTTAGCTTTGTCTGTCCGTCCGTCCGTCCGTCCGTCCGTCCGTCCGTCCGTCCGTCCGTCCGTCCGAACGATAACTCAAAAACTAATTGAGCTAAGTTCACCAAATTTTCACAAATGATTTATTGTAGTAAGTGCCAGAACCCTATTTAAATTGGACATGATCGGGGTACCGGTTCGGGTAGCTGCCATACAACTTTAAAATTTATTTGGCTATATCTCAGAAACTATAAAAGCTGTGGTATTGAAATTTCACACAAACGAATATATTAGTAGGGCCAATGTGTCTCATAAAACTCGTTGAAATTACTTGGCTCCTTCTGGTACCTGCCATACAACTTCAAAAGTTATTTGACTATATTTCAGAAACTATTAAAGCCATGGTATTGAAATTTCACACAAACGAATATATTTGTAGGGCCAATGTGTCTCATAAAAGTCGTTGAAATTATTTGGCTCCTTCTGGTACCTGCCATACAACTTCAAAAGTTATTTGGCTATATCTCAGAAACTATAAAAGCTATGGTATTGAAATTTCACACAAACGAATATATTAGTAGGGCCAATGTGTCTGATAAAAGTCGTTGAAATTACTTGGTTCCTTCTGGTACCTGCCATACAACTTCAAAAGTTATTTGGCTATATCTCAGAAACTATAAAAGCTGTGATATTGAGATTTCACACAAGTGA